ACCTAGCGCTTTAACTAGCATGTAGACGTCCATTAGACTGACTGATGGTTTTCCACAAGATTTGGAGCCGCTGCCTGCAGTAAAAGGAATGTGGGCAATTCCTTGAGTGCGGATCCGTATCATTCGGCCACGTACAAAATGTTCACTAATCACTGGCTGAGTGCTGAAGTCGAGAAACTATAACGAAGTCTTTGCAGCAGTTATCGACGCCAGCCATGCGAAGGAATACAAGTCGGGTCTCGTCGCAAGTTGACCACAGCATTTCGGCTGTTTGGCTGACACTCTCCTTGACTCGTTTTGTCTGCCAAGTGACGCTACTCATTCAGCTGATACAGAAATGCGATGCGACTCTTCTGCACAAAAGCACTAGCAACTGCTCCTTGGCAGCGGTAGCGGTTCTCGAAAGGAAGCTGTCGACCAACGTTGACGAACTCATATCAGCCGGACCGATAATAACGGGTATGTTTCAAATTTGCAATTTTTTCCTACTTTGGAATCGATTAACAGCCATTATTATGAATGGATTAAAGCCAGCATTCGACGGTCTCAATGTTTCGACCGTTATCATTCGCAGGTCCCATGGACATGACAGCTGCGACCGTTATCAGTCGAAGCTAAGCGATCTGACTTCGCACAAGGTCAGCAGAGTGAAATCTTATAGAACCGGGCAGGATGGTGCAGAGATCTAGTCAACGCTATCACAATAGCTTACCCGGTGAGAAAACTGAGACTGAGGTCGTTTACGATGACAGCTAATACAGCTTTTCCTGCTTAATCACCGGCCTGTACACTTCTTGACATCGATCTCAGGTAACAGGAGCAAACAATTGCTATTATCACTCTTTCCCAGACCGTGTTGCTAATTGTTCATCCGGCGCGGTAAATCATCACATTAGTTTATTATTTGCATGTTATCATATGTCACGGGATAAAGTCAACGTGAACTTCCCTAAGGGACATACTCAAAGCATTTCTGCACGTATGCCGTATTCAATGCCGTATTTTCCCAACAAAGATGAAAAGGAAAACATGTTCCGTGTCAGGTATTTGCTGTTCACAGTTGGTCACTGTGCGACAGTTCCCTACCAATTGATCGTGCATTTAAGTTGGTAAGTTTGTGCATCGAAGCATCGGGTTTTCGATCATCGCCTCGACAGCCTACCGCCAAAATAAAATTTCTCTCAACATAACATAACATAAACAACGCTTACATCATAAGAATAACAACCACCGTATTAGGAACAAAAATTTATTGCATCACTTTCATAAGAAAGATGAACTGACAGGTTGGAGTATTAATGCTAGAGTATCGTCTCAACACAATCAGGCAATGTTCGCGTATAATGCCATCTGTTTTCAGATCAGTACTTTTATGACACGTGCGGTTCGAAAGTGAGCTGCTGTTCACCCCAAGGTCAACATTTACTGATGAAGAAAAATTATGAACAGCTCATCAAGTGGATACAGGCAAACAATAGACCGCTACTGCAGCACCTTGAAGAGAAAAAAGGTTATATTCGAGGTACGATATACATTAATTTGTAACATACAGGTGGCGGCAACGGCTTGGCATAGTTTCAAACTGACAGGTGCGCACAGAGCTGCGGTGCTTTAATGAAAGAGTCTCATTGTCTACATGTATTGGTCATTGCGAACCCACGCAAAACTCCTTCCCGTGATTGACCCTCACCAGCTGCTCACCGGTTTCAAACAAACGAGAATGGGAGTGTGGGCTGAAACCGGTACCATTTGCCAGTGTGGCGCATACCTGTCCGGCTGAGCGCCAACGTACTGTTTTACGTGTCCAAACGTGCGCGTATATGTAATGCTCTTCGGCGTCCACGACCACTATGCGGCACACAGAGAAGTCTGATGGATTAGCGCCCGCTATTGTACAGCTGTTATGATTAAACTTTGGTCGGTGCAGCGCGGCTTCGCCCCCCAGTAGAGATAATTGCCGATTTTCAGGAGTAACCAGGCCGTT